TTAGTTGAACAATTATTAAATTATGAATAAGTCACTGATCAAAATTAACCAAGAGACTGGATGCCTAAATAGTTACCTATTGATGCAACTGCAAACAAAATTTCTTTGATCATTGATTTGGGGTATAATTAGTTGCAAAAAAAAAAAAAAAAAGTCTACTTTTTGCAGTATAACTGACAATTTTTTGCACAAGAACTTGTCATATTAGAAAGTGACAATTTTTTGCACAAAAATTCTACTTTCTTTGATCAATGTTTTGTCTTTCAGAAAAGTTTGATCATTCATTTTTGTTTGCCATTTCTCGGGAAATTGTTGATAGATTTGTCAGTCTAACTTGTCGGACATCTTGCATTTTGGAAAGCAAAGGTCATAAAGCAATAACTGTTGTTGAAGGAGATTATTCAATATTGACTTGTCCAATATGAACTGCTGATTTCAATAAAAGCTTAAGGTACCAAAACATTGTGAATCAAATTCTGATAGCTGCATTTCAATCTGTTCTGTCATTAGGATTTAAATATGACTGGTTCCTCAATCAGGGGTGAACTGTTTTCATATTCTAGTCGTCCAAATGCCTTTAAAATTCTAGGTTAACTTAGATAATAAAGACCATTTGCCATGACAAGAACGGCTATGATATAACTTGTCAAAACATCAAACAAGTCAAGTAGCATTTCCAATTTAAAAAGCAATCCGTTTGGATTAGTTGTTTTTTGGGGTGTTTTTAAAAAATTTTACTGTAATAGAGTTTTTATAATATATTTTAGAAAATATTTTGAAATATTTAAGAGTAGAAGAGTTTTTAGAATACATTTTAGGATATTTTTTAAGCATAAAAAAAAATTAGACTACTTTTTAGAGTACTTTTTAAAAATTTTAATAGTATTTGAAAAACTCTTGAATCCAAACACCAACTTTACTTTTGGTTCTATTTTAAATTTTTCTCAGACTTCATCAATTTAACTCACAATAAATTAGTAAAATAATAGAACTCTAGCTGGTTGCTTATTGATCGTTTAGTAATTTATTTTCTCTATCAATCGAACATAATTATCAATTTGCATGAGATGGTAGAAATGAGACCATTTTTGCTGACTTGGGGGCAAAATATTGAATTACCATTTCTTTTTTTCAAAATTTGCAAAATCATACAGATACATAGGGCTATCAACGGGCCGGGTTCGGGCCGGAATTCATTATTCCGGACCCGGATTACTATACCGGACCCGGATCCGACCCGTTTACCCGACAGGTCTTTTATTCTATGATCCGGATCCGGCGGGTCCCGGATCCGGGTCGGATGTACCCGAACAAATTTAGCAAAATTTATAATTTCTAATAAAAATGAGAAAAAAATATATTTGTAAACTAATTTCTAACTAATGCAAAGAAAAAACCAAATAAGAAAAGAAATCAAATTGATTTTATTCAAATACATCACCCTAATCAAATTATATTGATAAATATATATATTTTAAATTATTAATTCATTTATATCCGGATCCGGGTCTAATACGGGCCGGAATACTATATTCCGTATCCGACCCGTTTTTTTGTTTGACAAAACGGATCCGGATCCGGATCCGGAAAATGGAATTAAATCCCTACCCATACCCGCAATAATTTCACGGATTCGGTCCGGATCCGGGTCTAGACCCGACCCGTTGACACAGGCCTACAGATACAACAGACATGATGAGATCAAGTCCCTGCCATTCCTGCTTTTTCTCTGCCCTTTTCTTAATAAACAAATGAATCATTTGCACAGCTCTTACCACTGATTAGTTTGTGCTGACTAAAGCTTTGGAAAACATGTACTGCAAATCAAAGTTGCTGACATAAAGTCTTATTGGAAGTTTCAGTTTTGGATTCTTTTTAAATGTTAAAAAGAAAACACATTCAGGGATATGTTGCTGTTGACTTGAACTATTCAATAGCCTGTATAATTCTTTTTTTTTTTGGTGAAAAAATGGCTTATATAATTCTTGATCCTTAGCACCATGGTTGACTGTTTTCTGGCTTGACTTATTCTTTTTTGGCCTTTTCCTTCAGTTTTCTTTTTTCTCCTTTGCAAGTCAAGTGCTAATAATACGAAGGGTTCTTTTTCTAAACGGGGCTCTCCAGATGCAATTTTGGTATAAAAAATTGGTGTAGAACTCACCCCTATACAAAAAATATATTAGTTTACATTGAAATTGTGCCAGTTTACATTGAAATTGTACCAATTTATATAATTAGACGGAACTGAACAGAACCTCAAATAGAGACGCCCCGACCCCTCAGGGTCCTTTTCTTTTTAAAGCACCGGATAAAAGATGGTATCCATGTATTCTTATTTTTGAAAAGTTTAAATTTACAATGCGAAATTGAGCACAATTGAGGGGTGGCACTAAAATCAAAATTTTTATGATGGGCATTCCTTTTTGTGTGCTTATCCCCATTCCCCTGTCAGTAGGATAAGAATAAGAAAAGGCATATGCTAATATTGAACAAAGCTCTAAAGATGCTAGTTCACTCTTCAAGAATTTAATGGATTCATCAGCTATTGTATCATATCAAGAATCTTGCAACACTAATCCTGCAGTTGTTCCGTAGCTGTGCTACTATGTGGTATTATCATCCCTTCCGAAGGATTTCTCCTAGCTTAGAGACTATGCTTATCCTACATAATATTGAGATGACAGAAGTGTAGTAAACTCTTTCGCATTTTGGTTGAATTTAAGATTTTAATGGTACGAGTGACTGCTGAGGATAATCAGTGGACAATCTTCAGCTAATTTCAGTTAGCTACACCTATCACATTAAACATGGCAGGGAACTCGAATTCTGAAGGCACAATACTGACAACTTATTCTGGTGCCCTGGGTAGAGTACTAGACAAGTATTATTGCGGTTTGTATGTGCTCTAATTATAGTAGCAAGCACTGAAGAAATTGTCAAACCCGAAAGTGGGAAATGCATTAATTTGTAATTGATTCAGTGGACGTGCCAGAGACGAAAATTTGAAGCTATCAACGAATTGAGGCTACATCTCATTTTCTTCCACAAAGGAGAAGACCCTGCTTGGTATGAAACCAGTTTCTTTAGTAAAAGTGTTGAATATTACTAATCTACAGAAACCTGACAAATCTTTCTAACAGTAGCAATGAACTCAACTATTATCGCTTTTTACTTTATAGTGTGTTTCTTGGCTGTGATTTTCTAGAGCTCTGATCTAATCTTCCATGGCTGCTTCTTCTGAAACCATCAGCCTCTGAAAATTGTCTCCGAGTCGAGAAACATAATCAGAGCCAACCTAAATCACTTCCAGGCCCTGGCTGTTCTCTTTTGTTTTCCTCTTTCTCTCTGCCTCATCATCTTTCCAACTATCCAAACAATATTTTTCTCTCAATCTCTATCCAACTTCACACATTTCACTGAAAATCCAGTCCTGTACCTTCTCTTCAGTCTCCTCCATACAATCTCTGTCATCCTCTTCTCCTTATGTGCTGTTGCCATTATATTTCATACGGCATTTACCGTGCACTCTCTGAAGAACCTCTTGTTATCATTGAATCTAAAAAGTCCATTTTTTACTCTTGCCCGTCATTTATACAGAGCTTATTGTAGGTTCCATTGTGACTTTGATATCTATCCCTTCTATTCTTTTGGCGATTTTGGTTTACAAATGGCTTCATTCTCATAGAGTTGAAAATATTTCCAACGTGAACTCTCACTTCTTGATTTTTGGTATATTCATCAGCTTGGTGTATATTGTGTCAGTGACATATTTTCAAGTGAATTGGATGCTGGCCTATGTGGTTGAGTCCAAATGGGGTTACGAGGCATTGAAGAGAAGTGTTTATTTGAATAAGGGAAATAGAGGAGTGACTTTGTCAATGCTGTTATATATTGGACTTACAATTGGAGGGATTTGCTGGTGTTTATATGTTACCTATTGGTGGAGCCGGGGGGTTTTGTTTTATTTCATATATCATCCATTTATCGTAGTTTAAATCTTCTTGGCCAATGCTTCTTCAAAAATGAAAAAAAAAAAAAAGAAAAAAGAAAATTCTTCTTGGCCAAATGGTTGCAACTGGGGTCCTGTATGTATGTTGCAAGGACTTGCATGAAGGACTGCAATTCAAGAATAACAAGAATTTTCCTCTGCTCAACTGAGAAGCTGTAAACTTTTGATGAGCCAACTTTTCCTCTTTGCCAATTTTTTTTCCTTTTGAAATGAAATTGTGTAGCACTCGATTTTGATTTCCCTTTTATTTTGTTTTAATTTAGAAATTGTTGATAGAAATATCAACCATAGTTTTGGGACATCTATTATTTTTTGTATGAGTGTATTTTGGGAGAAAAAGGTCATCAAGCAATAAAAGCCATTCAACGTTAGGAATCCTATTATTGTTGAGGGAGGGAGTTAGCCAATCTTAACTTGTCCAAATATGAACTGCTGATTACGAATAAAAGCTCATCTTAAGATAGCCAAAAACGTTGTACATCCTTTCTTGTCCACCTTATAGCATTCAAGCAAGCTGGTTGAATCAGATAAATGTGGTATTAAATATTGGTTTTTTTTTTATCAAGAAATAAACTTAGTTGAACAATTATTAAATCATAAATAAGTCCTGATCAAAATTAACCAAGAGACTGGATGCCTTAATAGTTACCTACTGATGCAACTGCAAACAAAATTTCTTTGATCATTGATTTGGAGTATAATTAGTTGAAAAAAAGAAGTGTCTACTTTTTGCAGTGTAACTGACAATTTTTTGCAGAAGAAATTGTCATATTAGAGAGTAGGAAATGCATTAGTTTGTAATTCATGCAGTTGAGTCACCAAAGATGAAAAATTCCAAGCTATAAACCAATTGGCCTACATCTCATTTTCATCCAGAAATGGTCAATAAGAAAGCGTGCTTGGTAAGCTGTCATGTTTCTTTAGTCAAATTAGTTGCTTGTCATATCAGAAATTCCATCTTCCTAGTCTTAAAAAATTACTAATCACTGTATTCACAAACCTAATGTAGCATTGACTCAAGCTTTTAAATTGTTGTATTTATTGGCTGTGATTTTCTCCCAGCTCTAGTCTCATCCACCATGGCTTCTTCTTCTTCTGAATCCATTAGCCTCTGCAAAATCCTCTCCGAGTCAAGAAGCATAATCAGAGAGCATCCACATCATTTCCGGGTACTCACAATCCTATTTCTTTTCCCTCTTTCTCTCTGCTCCATCATCTATGTAACCATCCAACCAACCTTTTCCCCACACACTCAATCCAACTCCACATACACAACCTACAATCCAATCCTGTACCTTCTCTTCACTCTCCTCTATACAATCTCTGTCACCCTATTCTCCTTATGTGCTGTTGCCAGTATTTCATACAGCACGTACCGAGCTATTTATAAAGAACCTCTCAACCTCGTCGAATCTATAAAATCCATTTACAACTCCTTTTGGCCCATCGTTTCGACAATCATTGTTTTAGAGCTCATTTTTGCATCCATATTTATCCCTTTTATGGTTTTGGTGCTCTTGGTTTATAAACGGTTTCATCTTTCTGGAGTTGAGAACATTTCCAGCTTGAGCTCTTACTTCTTGATTGTCATCATATTGATCAGCTTGGTGTTTGTTGCGGTGCTAATCTATTTACAAGTGAATTGGATCTTGGCTTATGTGGTTGTTGTGGTTGAGTCCAAATGGGGTTATGAGCCACTGCAGAGAAGCGTTTCTTTGATCAAGGGAAATAGAGGAGTGGCCTTGTCAATAATGATGTATTTTGGACTTGCAAGTGGAGCGTTTTTCTGGTGTTTATATGGTACTGGTTGGTCGAGATGGGGGTTCTTCTTGTGTGCGATACTTGTTTCGATTTGTCAAAGTTTCATTCTCCTTGGGAATTGTGTTGCAACTGTGGTTCTGTATGTTCATTGCAGGGACTTGCATGAAGGACTGCCAATCAAGAATGCCAAGAATTGTCCTCTGCTTAAGTGAGAAGTTGCAGGCTCTTGAATCTTGATTTCATTACTTCTTTGTCAAATATATGTTTTTGTCTTTTAGAAAAGAAACTTTGTAGCATTTGATCAATCATTCCTGTTTGTCGTTTCTTTGAAAATTGTAGATAGGATTTGTCAATCAAACTTGTGGGGCATCTTGCATTTTGGAAAGAAAAGGTCATCAAGCAATAAAAGTCATTATTGTTGAAGGAAAATATGCAATATTGACTTGTCCAATGTGAATTGATGATGATTGCAAATAAATACTTACTTAAAGAGATACTATCAAAATATTGTGGATCAAATTCTGATAGAACACTAATACCAACTTGAAGCATTACAAGCTAGGTGGTTGAATCAAACGCTTAATTTTTTATCTAGAATTAAACTTGATTAAGCAATTATTTGTGATTACATACGATTTATCAATTATCACTAAGCCCTGATCAAAATTAATGTGGCCTACAAATGAGAGTATATTAGGCTTTCAAGATAGATAACAAATGTGGCCTACATAGATTATAGAACTTAATTTTCCTCATAATTACATTTGTCAAATAAGTATCATTATATGGACTATGATAAAATTACAAAAAAAAAAAAAACTTCCCTCACTACTCACATTCTACCTCACCCACCCTTCAACTGTCACTACAAAAAACACTTAAAAGTTCTTTCACTCTCCAGAAATTCACACACACACACAACAAACACTACTCATGCCTATCTTCCCATTCAAATTCAATCCTTTTTTCTACTCACAAGGAGCAGAGGGTTAGAAAGTTAGAGAGCAAAAATAGAGCAAGAAAGTGGGTCTTAGAAGGACTATATGAGAGAAAGGTTAATTAAGTGGGATTTTGCTAATGTAGCATGTTTATATTAGAGGCTATACTCAAAAGACCTTGTCAGGACCATCTTGATATCAATGCTTTCAACCTATATCTGTTTAGCTTCATTTTCTTGGGCAAATTAAACCTTCTCATTACTTGCCTCTGAATCTTTACATGCTTATTTATGTCAAATAAAATAAAACTAGTCCTGTCCTGTCCACTATAATCTCAAAATTGTAGAACATGAAAGCACGATGGTTACAGGCTGAAGAATAGAAAAAACTATCAAGAGATAAACTTTTTTTTTTAATAGCAACATTACTACTTTCCATCAATCAAAACTGAAAGGAGAAAACTAGTACTCTCAGCAAGAAAACATGACCTAACTAGCAAATTATTTTTTATCAAAGCGCCACTCTATAACCAGACATCTCCATTCTCCTTGGCATCTTATCCCATTAAACAACAGTCATTACCTGCAACTGTAGTAGTCTAGAGAGCTTAACCTGGCGAAATAGAAGTCTATTCCTTGCCTGCCACAGATGATGAATTGTTGCTAAAAAGCTAGCCTTCTCAGGTTATGACAAAAGGAAGCAAAGATCCAAAGCTTACTCCACCAGAGCACTTTCATCCTGCCACGCCAAATTCCCTCTATACATCAAGTACAACTGTTGAATTTTCCTCCTCCACTACAAGAAAAGTCACATGCAAAAAAAGAGATGTTCCAATGTTTCATCATACTCCTCACAAGACAAGTTTAGCCGCCAAATTCTTAGCTAGCCTCACTTTTGTATTCAATCTCTGCATAATTGCATCTGGATATAAACTTAGTTTAACATTTATTAGTTACATATTATACACGGTCGTTTCAAGAGAGTGGATGCCTAAATAATTACATATGTTGATGCAAAGCGCAAATGATGTTTCTGTCATCATTGATTGAGAGCATAATTAGCTGGAAACAGGCTCTACTTTTTGTAGACATTAACATTGGTTATTTTTGCTGTCAAAATTGTCACATAATTGTCTCGAAGGGATTTTTAAGTCAAAGAAATAACTTTTTTTTTTTAGGATTTTGGTTCTTAAAAAAAATTATCCTAGAATCATGTTATACAACATCTCTTGAAAAATGGCCAATTCACTTGCATAATGATGAAAACACTTTATAGATCTTTTATGGATCTACTATCACCATCTTATCAAAATTACGAGATTAATTGAGAAGGGAGGAGGGGCCATCGGCTAAAGGTTTCTAGTGCTATAAACCATGACTTGTCGATTAAGGCAAGCAAAACAGGCACAACGATGCAATAATGAGGGGCCTTTGTTTTGCAAATTTCTTAGCCATGAATTATCAGCAAGATTCATTTGGCACCATTCTATAATTGTTCGATGTTTTAGAAGTCCTGAAATTCATTTGTGAAATTTGTGTTACCTTTTTTTCTAGTAAAGCCTTGACGACTCTGTATCAAACCAAGCCCACTTAGGTAACTTGATTATATTCTTTTAGATGTATATGGCGATTTTTGTTGCCTATTTAACTGGGATTAAGCTTGTGCCAACAACTTAAAATACACAAAAATATGATTTAAGATTAAGTTTGTAAATCCTGGCCCCGGAAAAAAAATTTTTGAATCACGAATTAGAATACACAGAACATGAGAACATGTTCAAGCTATCTTTTGATTAGTTCACTTATAATGTAGAAATGATGTTTTTATGAATGGCTTATTAATTCAACTCGAACAGAAGAGTATATGCCCATAATTAGTGAACATTTTTGCCAACAAAACTGTAATAGGAAAATTTGTGATAGAACTTGTATAACTTCACCTTTTTTTCCTTGACTTTGTCATTCCCATCAAATAAGCACCAAGAAGATCAAGCGAAAGGGCAGGTGAAGGAAACTGATACTAGACGAGAGTAAAAAATTTTCAAAACTGAAAGATTTGCCAACGTTATCCAAGCAAACACCAAAAGAAGCTGACAAACAGTGAGGGTAAGAAAAAAAAACCCATGAAAACTACCAAATTTTTCAAAAACATCAACCTGTATCATATAGAAGGATTGTACATCAGCCACTAGTGCTGAGCAACTGCCCCAGATAAACTAGAATTGAATTAGAATTAGAATTCAATAGAATTGCAGTTCTTTGAATTGTAATTCCGTAGCAATAGAATTCTTTCATTTGAAAAATGCATAGAATTGATAAAGAATTCATTTGGAGCTCCAAATTCTTTGGTTGAATTGTTAGAAATTACATAATATTTGAATTCACATAGAGTTGGACTGGTGACAATAGTTTCGTATTTTTACATTACTTAGATGGCTCCAAAGTTCTATCATCTTAATATAGTCATTAATTAGAAATCAAGAATTTCGAGTTTTGTAAATCTACGAGTCTAATATTTTATGCAGAGAATTAAAGAAATAAAAAACTAGAAGTGTCGCGTGTAATTTTTTTTATTGTAAGGAGGCAAATAGGACAACCTTACTCTATTAGTCAAATATTATAGTTGGCTTATCATTAATTTCCAATCATAAATGATAAGAATTTGTCAAATATTAACGTTACAATTATGTTATAAAGTTGTCCTGAAAATACAATTAAGTGATGATCATAGAGTAATAATGAACAAGACATCCCAAAATACAAGAAAGAAACAAAGAAAAAAAAAATCTATATACATGCATGCTTGTGATAACCCTCCCCATAATAGAAGACTTTATTGATGAAGAGACAATAAAGCAATTGCCCAGAATACAAGCATGTGATGCACCCCATCATTGAGAGCACCACTAGCTATAGTTTCAATCAGGGACGTTTGCAAATTGCTCTAATCCCTCCAAGAGAGCCTCCACCACTTTTAACAAGACCGTATATGCCCACAACCTGTTGCTATATTAAAGGGTCTAGTTGAGCTATTAACATGTAACAAACATCAAGTCTAAATAACATGTTCTATATGATTAAAGAAGTAGAATTTTTTTTTTTTTTTAAAAAGGGATAACTTTAGAAACCTCCCCTGAGGTTTGTGACTATTTAACTGGCCTCCCTTCAAATTTTGAAAATTACACTAACCTATCTTGAAGTTTATTATCTTGGAACATTTAGGTCCAACCAATAATTAAAAAGTGATATTAGGAGGGAGAAGATAACATGATTCCACCATTGCCTCTCATTTACTGAATTGTTTAATTAATTTAAAACCAACCCAAACATTAAAGAAAATATTAAAATTTGTTGTTTATCATCAGGGATTAAATCACATATGGTATAAAAAATAGTATATCATTCTATATATTTCACTTAATATAAGATCCAAATTGTTCTTTTCAATTACAAACTCATTGTCAAACATGATCAACAATAAATAATCAAAAAAATGTATAACCAAAATATTACAAAGATCGAACTTTAATACCATAAAAATCTCAACAACTATCCTTAATATATTGACAAGAACATCTATGATGTTAAAGTTTGTTTTCTGTAATATTTTGGTTGCAAATTTTTTGATTTTTTGTTGTTGATCATATTTGGCAATGTGTATATAACTGAAAAGAGTAATTTAGATCTTATATTAAGTGAAAAATATAAAATGATATAAATATATATATATATATATATATATATTTGATGTTATATGTGATTTGATCCGTAATGATAAACAACAAATTTTAGTATTTTTCTTTAATGTGTGGGTTGATATTAAATTAATTAAATAATGCAGTAGATGAGGGACAATGATAAAAATATACTATTTTCTCTCTCCTAACATCACTTTTTAATTATTGATTGGGTCTAAATGTTACAAGATAATTAATTTCAACGGAGGTTAGTATAATTTTCGAAACTTAGTGGGCGGCCAATGAAATAGTCAAAAACCTCAAGGGAGGTTTCTGAAATTATCCCAAAAAAGGAAAAAGCAAACCTTGATAAGCACAAGGGGACGAAAACCACCAAAGAAAGCATGTTTTGCTTGTGCAGTCCACATCACAGCACTGAGATGGAACAATGCTCCAAAACTCTCTAACATCTAAAACAAAAAGACAATGGAAATAGACACAGTCCTTCTTAGCTGCCAGGTTACCAAGACTTGACGTAAGATATTTGGCAATTATGCATACAAGTTTAAGCTAAAAAACGCAGCCAGTGGTCAAATTCCTTGATGAGAATGTGCGATTTCATGTTGAAATGCAGACAAAAGAAGTTTGGCTATTTGACCTAACATATAGGAAGAAGATGATTTTTCCTCACAAGCATGGTACCTAATTTTTTGAAGTACTGCAGACATGACTGCCAAAATTTCTTCAGAATATACTAGTTCTAACCCAAAAAAAAAAGGATAGAGAGAGGAAAAGGAACATAAAAATAAAAGGTGGTTAAAAAAAAGATATGTAAGTAGGTAAAAACACCATGCAAACGATAAACCAACTTGAGCTCATGTTCTGAAAAAGGTAAAAACATTGTGTCAAATGAATTTAAGTCCCATTTGGATTACTATTTTTTTGGAGTTTTTATAGAGAAATGTACTGTAGCGATTTAATACATGTGAAATAAAAAAATGATTGAAAAATATGTTTACGAAAACGTAAATAATTTTGGCAGAAAAATGACAATTCAAATAATTAGTAAATGTGCATGACAATGTTTTGATTCTGAAAAAGAGCTAATTTGACCTTAGATTTTCCGATGTCATAAATAAATATTTCTAGTTGCCTCGATGTTGCTCCGTTTGGAGTAAATGTTTTTGGGAGTGCTTTTCAAAACCATTATTGTAGCTGTATATTTATATATATATATAATTACTGTAGATGTTTCTGGGGGTATTTTTAGAGGTATTTTGGGTTTTAAAATATATTTTGGAGTATTTTAATAATTTACAACTTTTTTGAAATTTTTTTAAAAAAATTTTACACCACCCCTCTCTCTCCCTCTTTCTCCCCCCTCCCTCTCTCTCTCCCTCCCCACTTTCCTCCTCCTGGTGGTGGTGGTAGTGGCGGTGATAATGGAGAGTGATGGATGGTGGTGGTGGTGGGCAATATGTGGAAGAAGAAAGAGGGGAATTTTTTATTTTTTTTAATGTATTTGAGATGTATTGCCTGTAATTGAAATGTATTGTAATTTTGAATTGTTTTAGAATTTATTACTGTAGAATTTCAAAAAACTGTTAAATCCAAATGAAGTTTAGATTTGCAAATGTATAGTCATTCTGATTGGAATCTAGTGTAACTTTGTTGTTCATGTTATTAGACCAAGAAACGACCAACAAATTAATACAAAACAGTCAAAAGAAGAAAAAAAACTTTTAGTTTTATACTATGAGATTCTTTTAGGTTTTTGTTTTTTTATAGATTATAGAACTTAGCAATTTTCCTCATAATTATTTGTTAAATGTCATTAAGATTTCCTTTCAAAATAAATATCATTAAAATTAACTAATGTGAAATTACCAAAAACACCCCAACCGATCGTCACCTCCCAGCCACTCTCTCCCTCACCAACCTTTCAACTCTCTACTACACATTCAAAAAAAACACAAAAAGGCACACCAAAGCTTCTTTCACTCTCCGGAAATTGACACACACAACACACAACACACAACACACACTACTCATGCCTCTCTTCACCTCCAAATTCAACCTTTTCTTCTAAATCCTACAAATTTTCCCAAACATTTTGTGGAATAAATAGAACCATTCATTCATTTCAAGTTATTGAAATGGCTTCCACCGCTGTCACCCATGTCCTGAACCCGGATACGGATACTTCCATGACCACTCCGCTGCTCCGCCCGCGTCAGGCGGAGGCGAACCATGGTCGACCCGGAACAGCTCCACTGGCTGTTCTACTCGGTCGGGTCACGGGTCGACGTGGAGCTTCCATGCTGGTCCGGGAAACGGCAGCTCGGCAGCTGGAGGAGCGCCGCGCCGACTGGGGCTACTCGAAACCGGTGGTGGCGTTGGATATAATGTGGAATTTGGCGTTTGTGTTTGTTTCGATAGTTATGGTTTTATGTACTGTGAAGGAGAGGGAGAATGTGCCCATTAGGGTTTGGATATGTGGATATGCTCTGCAGTGTTTGGTCCATGTGGCGTTAGTTTGGATTGAGTATAGGCGGAGGAATAGGAGGGGAAATTGGGGGAACAGTAGGTGGAGAGGGTATTCGGAGAATGGTGGTGGAGGGGATGGGGGAAATGGGGAAATTGAGGAGGATGAGGAGGGAAATGGTGGTGGAGCTTTGGGGCAATCGAACCGGTCAACGTAAGTTTTTTTTTCATTTAAGTTAAGTTTTACTGGTTTTTCTTTTTAGCTGGATTGGATTTTAAAGTTTGGAACTTTAACATGCGGTTGTTTTTTAAGGTTGGAAATGTTATATTTACAGGTTTATATGAATAAGTGGATTATGAAGTATGAAGCCTCCACATTATGTCTCTCTGTTTAATTGTTTCTGGTTGATGAGTTTGGACTATAAAATTCATAGCTTGAAATGGATAATTGCGCGCGGCAAAGTTAATAAAATTGGAACTTATATCCTTAAATTTTGTACGTGTGTATGTGAGAGTGTGCGTGTTTGTCTGTTGTCCAAAAGGCTGTAGCTTTATTTTGTGTGTTAAAAGTTGGAGTATCATGATAGATAGCTTGAAAGGGATAATTCGGTACACGGCTTAGTTAACACAGATTCCAAGAATGGAGCTGTAACATTTTGTTTCTGTATGAGGTTTTGTTGTACTTTATGCTATTGGTTAGAATTGCAATGTTGCAATTTATAGTTTGATATGCTTGACAATGCGCATGTTTTAGTCTATTTGTTAAGTTCAACTTCGAGGTATGAAAGCTTGAAGGATGTGTTTTTTCGGGTTGTAGCTTTATTTTTCCATGTCTAGGTGTCAAGTGGAATAGTTTATACCTTGACGTTTTATGGGAAACTCTAGTTGCTTATGACTTGTGTTAAAAGCTGAATTGTGTGGACTTTGGAGCTTTAGCTTTGTGTTTGTAGGATTTGGAAGTCAGAAATAATTGAGTCACTTATGCCCATTACATTGTGATTGAATGGGAGAATGGAAGTTTGTAACTTGGCATATGCAATTATGCATGTGTGTATCTCTGGACATTATGTTATCTTTTGCGAGAGATTATAGTTCCATTTAACTCATACTACATGCTGACTTGTTCTCTTTTTTGGTAGTTGGATATAAAGTTTGTTGCTTTAGATTCTAGTGCATGGGAGTTTTGGAATATAGTGGATTGAGGTTATTGATAAATATAAAAGCTTAAGTGACTAATTGTTGAAATATTTTAGTGATGCATAGGAACTCTTGGTTTATGTTGTCATGATGCCACAACCTACTTCTGTTGTTTCCAGAGTGTGTATTTTCCCGCCTTGACTTGCCAAGAAGTTTTGCCATATGCCCTAGAAGCACAAACTTTTGGCTCTAATGAAACTCTAAATTGTCTTGGAAGTTTCTAAGGGTGATTTTATGCCTTAGACTGACTATTGTTTGTCATTTTTGTTGGTTTGGGCTGTCTTCTTTATTGGAAAGTTTGTTTTATCACTATTGGAGAAAAGCGAAGATGCCTTCTTGACTGCTTGTTTTTTTGTGCATAATCCAGTTGCATTAAACGATGTGAATCTGTAAACACAATGGCATCCTTTCTATGGTGGATAATTGGCTTTTACTGGGTAGTCTCTGGTGGCGAAGTTCTTATGCAGGGGGCCCCCCGTCTGTACTGGTATGCCTTTATCCAATTGCATTTCAGATTTTCTTTTTGTTTATTTTATCTAGATAACTGCTCAAGGTTGTTGATATAGTTTATAAATGTAAATTAAGCTTCTCATTTTTGCCTTATGATACAGTTATTTTGCTTGTTTATATAACATGCTTGTGAGTCTAGATTGTGGTGACAAGATTGCCATCTCTGCATGTTGAATTATATGTTTGATGATTTCCTTTTCTTGTCATTACTGAATTGTTATATCCATTTTTTCTTGTCCTGATTAAAATTGAAAGAAAATATAAAATATTCATAACTTCCTTCTACAGACAATATTGTTTGGAGTGTTTTCCATAATAATGGTTACTAAAGAAAATTACCCCCTCCCCCTTCTGCCCACAGAAAAAACAAATAAAAAAGATTAGAAAAGAACAGAAGAAAAAACCAAAAATCGCTAAACAGCTAGTTTTGGATTGAAATGGCACTTGCTGACAACATTTAAAAAATGAATTCGGACAAATTTACTTTGGTCTCCTAAAATTAGATTAATTATTATTTTCCTAGACAAAGCCTTACCATTGACCAGCTGTATGTTTTCATGTTACTCATGGGGCATCAGTTACTGTATTTTCTATATCAGCTTTGTCAATGTCTAGAAATTTTTTGACATATGGTTCTTTATTGTCTTTTTTCTTCAAACGAATGTTTTCTGCTAAAAGCATTTTGTTCTTTATTCTCTGTTTTCTTCAAATGAATTTTTTCTGCTAAAAGCATTTGTTAGATTCTGAGTATAATGCTGCTAATTTGTTGAGTATAAGGTCAGAAATCAATTTTTTTAAAGCTCACCCTCCCTATATTACGGCTCCTGTCACTAGCTGTATTCGAAAGTTTGTTGGCTACTACAAACTGTTTCTTTTTATGTCAATTAAAGCTTGCATCTACAGCCGGTAAAAATTTTTTATCTTTCATTTTTCTTCTTCAACTCAGCATTGAGAAACGATTTCAATTAAAACTGGCAGATATAGATCATGAGAATTCTGGTTTTGAGCATTGCAGGTTGGCGGTCGTATTTCTGGCATTTGATGTGTTCTTTGCCATCTTTTGTGTGGTTTTGGCATGCCTGATAGGACTTGCCCTGTGTTGCTGCTTGCCTTGCATCATAGCAATTCTTTATGCAGTTGCTGGGCAGGTAAGCCTCAAAAATCTCAATGCAGTCACCACAGGCAATGTAGACACACTCAGTTTGATGGTAAGCCTGTTGATAATAGATTGCTAACTTCAACTTTTGTTCAAACACACAGGAAGGTGCATCTGATGCTGATCTAAGTATGCTTCCTAAGTACAGGTTTGAAATATCTATGGATGAGGATAAGCCTATTGGATCTGGTAAAATGGTCCCTATTCAATCGAGCGGTGGATATTTGGCTCTTGAACGTAATCTTTTACCTGAGGATGCAGTAAGTTACCACTCTTGTGGAAATGCTAAAGCTGGTTCTCTTCCTAATGCATAAACCTGTCGTGGTTGCCTGAAGTTTTTGTCTGTAAATCCCATTGTAGAAGTCCAATGAAATTGGAATGTTCTATTTTACTGCCCTGAACCATAAAAAAGCAGATTGGAAAGTCAGCATACATATTATGAAATTTCCATCCATCCATAGACCTATCTATTATCTTGACCTAGATTTACCAAATCTTATGGTTTTATGAGGCCTCTATGCTCTGAGTTTGTTAAAGCAGCTTGTGGCTATGGGCATCACAATACAATATGCTAATAAAAAATGCTGTATGAATAAAATAAGATAAATATTAAAAATAAATCTTGCTCCATAACTGCGCTCATACTCTCAATGCATTGCAGTTTCACCTTGATTGCTTTTGGTCTTGACCTTTTGGTTTCCTTCTGTTTGTTCCTAGGAATGCTGTATCTGTCTTACTGCATACGATGATGGGGCAGATCTCCAAGCTCTTCCTTGCAACCATCATTTCCACGAACCTTGTATAGTGAAATGGCTTAAGATGAATGCAACATGTCCTCTCTGCAAGTACAACATTCTGAAGGGTACTGAGCAGGTTTAGAACGAGGCAGAATAGACAAGTTGATATAGGTTCTTCTATCTGCTGTCAGTCAGTGTTTATATGTACAGCGATATGAAGGCTGGAAGAAACAGCTTTCAAATACCTTTTAGGAGAATAAGATGCATCATTTGTTTGTTGAGTTTCTGTCATGTATTCGGCCTCTTAGATTTCTTTTGGCAATTTGTGTTCCCTTCCAATTGAGTTATTTAAAGCTCATTGGTAGTAGATATGAATTAAGAAGTTTCCAGCCATGTAAATATTCAGTCAAAGTTACTTTGCAGTTGATGTTGTTTAAAGTTTCCTTGGTAGTAGGTATGAATTAAAAAGCTTCCAGCCTTGTAAATATTCAGTTAAAAGTTGCTACTCTGCAGTTGATCCTTCAGATACAAAGGTGGTTGGAGATGCATGTAGTATGTAGTGGTTGACTCTGATGCTGTGGGCTTTAGGTGAACTGGAATTGTTCTTCTGTGTTTCTTGGTTTGTTTTTTGATTGATTGGCAGCTAGCTGGCTTGCATACAATTCCTACAACGCTAGTTTATCATAGCCTTTTAAATATTAACTAAACTACATAAACACAAGCTCTGTGGGCTGCTTACTTCCAATCTTCCTTTCACGGAGAAAAAGAAAAATAAAAATTTAAAAAAAGTTGAATTTCAATCTTCATTTGTTCATTTCCTCTTTAATTCGTCCTTCCCTAATATAAGAATGTCCAAAGAAGAAGAATTAAGGGGGAAAAAAAGGAAATGGAAGGGACTAGTCTACAAGGCTTGCCCCTGATGCTTATAGTGTGTTTAGAGTTTAAAACCTTTCCTGGACAGGTTGAGGGATTGGCAACCCGCTTGAGACAATGCTTACCGTGTTATGTGTCATGTTATTATTCGACTTAAAAGTCTAATCTGTTGAAAAAATATATAAAGAATAAATTATTATTATTATTATTTTTGGCTTTGAGCATCCGGTATCTCCACCTCAGTGAGACTAATCCGGATTCGACCAAATGAGTGCCCACAGAGTCCGATTCTTACTAAGGGGTGAAGGTCTGTCCAAAACTCTTCAATGCACCACATGTAGGTTTCGAACTTGCGATTTCCTGTTGGCATTAACTACCCACTTATCAAATCGCCCAAGTTCATAGGTTAATTCAACATGAATAAGAAAGATTTTAGCAACTTCTTTTATTATTTTAATTTTTGCTATAGTAAATACTATAGAGAAGATATATATAAATATATATATAATAAAGGGCAATAATACTTATCGTACATAATTTCAGCAATAAAAGGGTAATAACATTATTAAACTCAATCTTTTTTTTCCCTCACAAAGTATCGATGGAGTGGGGACAAGTATACTTTCAAAGTTTTAGATTTGTAAAGTGTGACTACTCCCAAAATTTAGGAGAGCAAAGTGAATTTTTTTTTTATGGTATCAATCTATAAAACAATTTGATGGGTTTCTTTTTTTCTTTTTCTTTTTCTTTAGATCTACCTAGCTAGATTTGATCAGAGAGGAAAACAAGTGAAGTGGTCAAATTCTTAGAAGCTTATTCCTTATCGCGCTAAACAAATTTGTTGGTTAGATCCATTTTCGATGTGGAAGATATATATTAGTTTAAACTTTAAACAAAAGGATTTCCTAAAAATTCTTCACTTGCCTTTAATGGAGATTAAGCTACAATCCATGATCTCTACATCATGAAATTTTACGTGAAAGAAAGTGTAACCAAAAATAGGTTTTTCTGAAAAGATGATTTTTTTTTTCATAATAGCAGCAAGCTGTCTTTTGAATGACATGTCTATAACGCAAACACAAGCTTCATTACCGAATTACTGTGCTCTTGCATTAGAAGAAAAGCAGCTAGAAAAATTATCTTATTGAGTATATGTAATCCTTTCAGATAACTAGGGCTCCATTTGGATTGGCTTATTTTTCAAAAATAAGTTTTTAAATACGATACTATAGTAATACATACAAAAATAACTCAAAAAACATCTCATTCATATAATATATCAAAAACAATTCACAAATATACACAAAAAAAAAATAAATTTTACAACATTTTTCACCTATCACCACCACCCTTCCCTCCTTCTTTCTCCTCCCCCTTCCTCTTCCTCCTCCTCCTCCTCCCTCTTCCCCTTCCTCGACATCCCCTGACCCTTCCTTCTCTCCCTTGATCTAGTCACGACCAGATCACAACCTTCTGGTTGCGATCTAGTCACGGCCTTTGGTCATGACCGGAGGCCTCAACCAAATTGAGGGGGGGGGGGAGGGGAGGGAAAGGCCAGGAGGTGGAGGGGAAGGGGAGGGGAGGAGGAAAAGGGAGGGGGTGTGGCAATGGTAGGTGGGGGTGGTGTTGGTGGTGGTTGTGGTTGTAGATCGTAGTATTAATTTTTAAAAAGTATCCTAAAATATTTTAATTAAAAGGTGCTCTAAAATATATTCAAAAAATCCCTCCAAAAAACATCACAAAAAATATTTACAGTAAAAGTTTTTCATATATACTGCTACAGTAGTTATTAAACCTAACCTGACTTAATAATTGAATCGGTTGGCCTGGTGAACTGAGCATCAAGCTGGGTTGGGTTTCTAGTTTGATTGGACAAAGAATTGACCTGATCAAACCCATTGACCTACTAGTTCAAACAGGAATTCGTCCATTTTTTCAAGGGATAATTGCAGAAACCTCCCCTGAGGTTTCTAACACTTGCACTGACCTTCTCTGTGATTTGAAAAATTGCACTGACCTCCCCTGAACTTATTAATCCTTTACAAATTTAGTCCAAACGATTAAAATATTGTTTTAGGGAGTGAAATTAGAATTTTGTACCAGATTTGCCCTTTGTGCTACATGTCCAATGAATGACAAAATATTACAAATCAATTAACAATTAATAAACTTTAAGCGGTGTAGTTTATAGGCAAATACGCATTACCCATTTAAAGTACCGGCTCTTTATGGATATTTTACTTTCAAACATTTAATTTATGATAAATATATCAATGTTTGTAAGTAAAATTCAAAAAGTGTTACAGTAATATTCTTACAAAAAGGAAATCGGTAGGTTATCTATTTAATATAAATTAAATAATTTTTTTAAAAAAAAAAGAAATGGCCCATAAAGTATTAATTCTTTATGGCTTTCATCCATTAGATGAGTAAAGTATTGGCTCTTTATGGGCATTTTATTCTGAATCATTTAATTTATGTTAAATACATAAATGTTTGTAACTAAAATTGAAAAAATGTTACATTAATATTTTTACGGAAAGGAAACTAGTAGGTTTTGTATTTAACAAAAATTAAATATACGAGAGTAAAAACAAATCTTTGTACTCTACAAACAGACAAGTACAAGTCATCCTTCTATGCACACAGACAAGTACAAGTCATCCTTTTATATTTTAACCGTTATAAAAATGCATTTTTGAAGACAAGTCTTTGAAACGAGACAAGTACAAGTACAAGTCTTGAAATTTCTATGCATTTTTATATTTTTATTATAATTGCTCCCCCTCAATTATAGAAAATATCTTTTTCCCTTTATATTGCCCCCTACATTATGAGAAATTCCCATTTTTTTTATATTACCTCCTTAAATAATCAATTTTTTTTGGACATCTCTCCTATCGTACAAATTTTTGAAAGTTATTAAAACACAAAACTAATTACTACTTAAATAGGGAGTAACCTCGTTCCTTTTGAAATGTAGAAAACTCATAATAAAAATTGTATTTTTAATCAAAATTTTCTTTACATAATAACAGCATCATTTTAGATGTATAATGATGCTCCCGCTAAGTATAGATCATGATTCCGCTACTGCCCAATTCATTGATAATTCTTATTGGCATGTAACACTCAACCTCATCCTTAGAACCTTATTGCATTTGTAAAATCTCATGTTGCAAGCACATAACGTGATGTAAGAAATTATAGTCATGTACATAATGACCATGTTTTATAAGGTTTTCCTACACCATATAAATAGTTCGTAGGTGTTTTCATTCCATATAAAATTTTCCCTACGAAAGTCAATATTCAAACTTATAAACTTATAAATGTAAAATTCATTCCTTATATTTATAATGCTCTTTCGATGTTTTCACTCTCATTTAAACAACTATTTAAACTGCTCCTTGTGATGTTTCCACTCTCATTGAAAAAAAATCAAATTTTGTATTTTAATTTCACTAAAAATTGAAATAATTTCCAAAATCTATACCAAATAAATAAGATTGGATTTTGAATATCCAACCTTATATTTATACTTAAATCTGTTATGCTCACACATTTATCTGAAGTAATGATTCATAAATTTATCACTCACATAATATATATGGTATCAAATACTTCTCAATTAATTGTTTATTCTTGAGCAAAGAAATAATAAACAATAAAGAAAAATGTTATTCATTTTGAATTATAATGTTAGGATAATCATTAATTTATTTAACATTTATTGTTGGCACTAAATTTTTTTAAGGTAGCCCAAAAAACCTTTACATTTGTTGCTAGCATTTATATATATATATATATATATATGATAGCAACAAATTATTTTCAATGTAGGATTGTTGTGGTAAAACCCAAACAAGCAGGTGCACTGTCCTTTCCCAAATAATACTACATATCATATCGTTATTTCATGGGCCAAAATTTGTAGCCCATTTAGCTTCTTATAAAACCATCACAAAAGTCAATGCAGCACAACAAATGCAAGACACCAGCTTCTCCTCTCAACTATCACGTGGCAACACAATAAGCAACTACAGCAAGAACCAACTTGTTCTTATAATATCTACCTTGTATATAAGAAAAGATTAAGGTTTAGTGCTTTCCTTTTCTTTTGTCAAGTGGCTTCTTAATTATTTGACAAGTGGCAAAGTCAAATTTTTCTTGCAAATTGTCTGAAGCCTTCTCTTAATATTTCTTTCAAATTGTCTGAAGCCTTCTCTTTCTTTTGGCATTGAACTGTTTCTTTCTCATTAGTGCTTTCCTTTTTCTTTTGCCACATGGAAAAGTCAAATATTCCTTCCAAATTATCCGAAACCTGTTCTTTCTTTTGGCATTGAACGGTTTCTTTCTCGAATTGCTGTTGAAGCCTTTTCTTCCTTTCTCTCTACTAGATGGCTATTCTGAGCCAAAATTCGGTGTGCCTATTCTGAACAAATCCAATTCCAAACGGCTATTCTACCAAACCCAATTCGAAATGACTATTCTAGTCAAAAAGTTGGGAATTTTACATGATTTGGGAGATGGATTTTGTGAGTTCCTTCTTCAAGCCAGTAGGTCAACTGCTACTCCTGCAGACACTTGATTTCATGTTGCAGAGATTGCTGGTCACTCACATGGTGTTTGTACTTCAAAGGAGGAAAGTTAGGAGCAGGTGAACTGCTCTTGTCTACACTTGCCGTGGTTTCCTCTTTCTCTAATAGCAAATTA